GAAGATAGCCTCTAAGTATATATGGAAAAGGGTCTATTTATAGTAATCTGTCAGACACCACCTTAATCAAATGATACAAGTTAACAATGCTGATAATGAGATATGTCAATATCATCTTAATATGAGGCCCTGAAAAAAAATACCATATCACTTCTACGGTGTTCTTGCTAAAAAATGTAAAACCTGAATTTAATCATAAGGAAGCATGACACAATCGCAAACTGAGACACAGTCCAGAATTCCTGCTTCTTTGGAAAAATGTATTTAGAAGAAATGTTTTTTGTTACTGGTATATAGAAAAATAAATTGATCTCATCCAGCCACCTTGATAAATTCCCCTATTATTTCTAATAATTTGTCTGTTTATTCTTTTGGGTTTTCTATATTATCAAAAAATAATTAAGCTCCACTCAAAGCCCAGGATAGGAATATCCAAGTGGCTGAGCCCAGGTCATATGCCTGAACTGGTAAAGCAATTATCTGGCATTTTTAGTCTGCATAATGGGAGAAAGGCTTCCTCCAACCAAGACTCATAAAAATGGAGAATTCTCCAAACATAAAAACAGAACAGGAAAAACAAATTTTACTAAAATCCAGAGTATAATGTAGGAAAACATTTTGTCAGAAATGGTCATGAGTGACAGAAATAACATAAATAGTAATACAGTATAAGAAATACTATAAAATAGCATAAAATACATAATAATGAGGCATACAGATAACAAAGGATCATTAAAATACAAAGGTTATAATTTAAAATAAAAGTAATAAGTAAATGTAAGAATGATACAATTTTAAAATGTGAACATCACACTTGGATCATATCATGGATCCTTCAGAGTAACGGGAATTTATTCCTCTTAACGCCTGCAATTCTAGAATAGAGTCAGTGAACTTTCATATAGTACATTAACAGTCAACTTTCAAAACCTTGCATGTTCTATAAATGTCTCATCATTTACGCTCAATTGACCCCAAGAGAGAAATCACCAGAGAGGAACAAAGAACGAAAATAGAGCTAGTAACTACTTTTCTGTGTCTCCTCTCCTCCCAGAGGGGCATTCTTTGGACAACCCCATCCACCTTCAAGAAAAAAAGAACATGAAGAATGGGAAGTCAAACAGGCATGAAAAGATTATGATACACTTTAACATCTATATGCATTCATCTACAGTTCTTTTTCATTAATTTTTTGCTCACACATTAAAGTGGACCAGAGGTAATTCACACCTTTATAAAAATTAAAAATATTTGTGAAAGATCGATTTACTTCTATTTACTCTAAATAAATTTCATATGGGAGACTGAGGACCGTTTCATAAAAGGGATGAACAGGGACCTGAAGGATGATTAAGAAAGAGGCAACATTTCAGGCTAAGGAATAACACAAACAGAACTGAGAACATGCTAGGTGTACATAACAAATTGAGAGTAAAAGGACTGGAACACAGACCTATTAACTCTGTGATGTAAAAAACCTTTAATAAACACACGGGAAACATGGAAGAGAAGCAGTTTGAGAAAACCAGATTAACTTAGTTATAGACAGATTAAAAATTGCTCATGAAACATTCAACTAATGTTATCAAGTAGGCAGTTGGAAATATGGGCTTAGGACGACACAGGAGATCTAGAGCTAGAAACCATGCAACATGTAGATCATGTTCACAGCCACAGAATATGCACTTGTTACTAGTGTTAATGTTGTCTCGGGCTACTAAACACTTAGATTAATAACTACTAATCAAGGTAGACTCAAATACAGTAATTAATAATTTTAAATTGCCTAAAGGCAATTCAATGAACTCTATAAATCAATAGACTCTATAAATCAACTCTATAACTCAGAATAGACTTTCTTCCAAATACTGAAATCTACATAGATACACATAAAAACTCCTGCAATTCAGGAGTCTTCAGAGATCAGAATACTGCAGGCACTTAAACTGAACTGTCAGGATGCAACACCTCTCCGTGTGTGATCTTACTGCACCTGCCTCCAACACTTTTGAGCTTACAAGACTCAAGACCATAATTCTCCTTTTAGAGATGATGAAACAGGATGAAGAGAGAAAAAAACAACCTGCTCAAGTGGCAGTTAGTGGCATAATCCAGGTCCTGAATATGGGTCATCTGACTCCAAATCCAGTGTTATTACATCTTAGTGATCAGGTGAAGGAAGGGCTATGGCAAGAGGGTCTTGAATCCTTCTGTACACAAATCTATACCTCTAGACTGAAAACTATTTTTAAGTTATGAAACTGTGATTTATAATAATAAATATATATTTGGTCTTTGTCCCATTTCTGGCACAGAGCTCCCCAAACCCTTGGAATTTCCTAAGTAATGAGAGCAAGAGACATGTCTTTTGCTATGTTAATGAAGTGGTTTTTGGACCCACCCCCATCCCAATGAAGGATGGGGGCTGGCTGCCAGGAGAGCCAACCATATGATCAGAGTGTTGGAACTTTTGGTCCTACTCCTCCAATCTCCAGCAAAGGGAGAGGACCAGGAGGTTGAATCAATCACCAATGGCCAATGATTTAGTAAACCATGACTATGTAATGAGGCCTCCATAAAAACCCAAAAGGACAGGGTTGGAGAGGTTCCATGCTGGTGAATACATGAAGGTGCTGGGAGAATGGCACCCGCAGTGAGCATGGAAGCTCCACGCCCCTTCCTACCTACTTTGCCCTATGCACCTCTTCCATCTGGATGTCCATCTGTATCCTTTCTCATATCCTTTAATAAATTAATAAACATAAGTGTTGTACAGAGTTCTGTTAGGCACTCTAACAAATTAATCAAACCCAAGGAGGCGGTCTTTGGAACCTCCAATCTATAGCTGGTTGGTCAGAAACACAGGGCTTGCAACTGGCATCTGAAGTATGTGTGTATGTGGGGGTGGGAGCCGGCTTTGTGCAAATGAGCCCTTAATCTGTGAGATCTGACATTAACTTCAGGTAGATAGCATCAGAATTCAGTTAAATTGTAGGATACCCAGCCACTGTCACAGAGAATTCCTTGGTGTGGGGAAAAGCTTCCATACATTTGCTGACCAAAGTGTCAATGAAGTGTTTAGGTAAAAGTAGAGACACACAGGGAAGAAACACACAGTACGGAAGAAGCGAGTTTTTCCCTACATAGTAAGAAAAAGAGACCTGAGTTTTTCCTTTACACAACTATATACTTCTTTCTTTTTTAGGGTTAAGGCTTTTTTTTTTCTTCTCATTAAAAATCAGTACATGCTCAAAATTCTAATTTTACAAAACTGTAAACGAGAGAAAGTGGCATATCCCCATAATCCCAACTCTCAACAATATGCACTACTAATAGTTTGGAGTATATTCCGCAAGACCATTTTCTCTATTCATCTAATTAATGCACAGGTAGGAGCTGTATAAACGTGTGTATGAGCTTGAATATATTTACACACTTGCAAATGCTTCTACTGGATCAATTTTTAGAAGCAGAATGTTAGATCACTGAGTATATAGTACTTTAAATTTTAATAGCTATTGCCAAATTGCTTTCCAAGGAGATTGTACCAATTTCTACTAGTTGACAAAGAAAATCTGTATAAATACAAATGGCCAAAAGACATATAAACCAAGGAGACCATACGAATTTCTACTGACATACAATATGCGACTGACAAAATCTGTATAAATACAAATGGTCAAAAGACATAAACCAATATTTAATCCCATTTGGTAAAGAAACCCAAATTAAACAAAAGCAGTATATTTATTTTTATCCATCAACTTGGCAAAAAAAATTAAAGACAAATATTATCTAGCGCAGTGTGGGGACAGGAAAACAAGCTCTCTCACAGACTGTTGGAAGAATAACCTGGCTCAACTTCCGGAGGGCATTTTGGCCATGTATGAACATTTTAATGTATATGGACGATGACCCGGCAATTCCACATTTAGGAATGGATCCCACATCAGTAAGTATCCCAGTGCCCAACAATTTACTTACAGTAATGCACAGTCTTTAAAAAAAGAGCAAAAATTTGGAAACAGTTTAAATGTCTATCAATCAGAAATTAAGTCAATTACGTTAAAACCATACAATGGAATATTTTGCAGTCATAAAAAAATGATGCTATGATATTCTTTTTATCATAGAAAAATGTCCATATTAATAAATATATAGAACAATCCCATTTATATATAAATGTATACAAGCCTTAGGAAAAACTTCTTAAAATATATTTCAGAATATCAACAGCTATATCTACATGGAGGAGTAACAGGTAAATTTTAACGATACATTCTGTAATTGTTTTAAACGGTATGCATGTGTTTCCCAACTTTTCATGGTTTCCCATGTCTTTTAAAAGGAAAATGTTGTTAATGCTTTCTTTAACATAAAAGTAGTCAGTACACTAAACCAGATAATGTCCTAAATCCTTTCATATTCTGAAATTCTACATGATAAATAAGAAAATATTTACTCCAGGGGCTTTTTTCCTTCATTATTCCCAAAAAGCATATTCAGTACACTTTCCCTAGATCTTGTGAGGAGACTAAAATACAAGAAATGTTCCTTGTTCTTATCATATTTTGACTTTTAAAATAATAATGATGGCTGCATCTTGGGAGTATAGAGAAGGGGTAGAGAGAATAAGGAAATGATAAAACCCCAACCCAGGCAAAGCGTTTCTCAGGTTTCAAAACTCCCAAAGAAAATCAATGCAAATCTCCAAATTTAGGTCCGAGAGCTAAAAATGAGGACTCACTGCTTTTAAAGATTTATGTATATAATATTATCCTACTCACAACAGATCATTATTCCTGGACCGTTACTGCCGGAGATAAGTCAAGGCAAACACAGCAAGTTAGACTTACATTTAACTATCAGAAAGAATATATTATCTAACCTTTATACATCACATTTTTAAAAACATGCTTATAAAAGCATATTAAAACATTCATTTATGGTTTCAACTCTTATACATTACATGTAGTAAAAAAATAATGACAAATAATTACCTCTCCTATGAAGACTACTATAACACAGTCCAACTTCTCTTCAGGATACAGATTATCAATAAGGGAATGAAGGGTTTCTATGAGGTAAGATTTAACTTCTCTCTTCACTGTGGGAATTCCCATTACTATTGACACTGAAACAAAATAATGATAGTAATTATATAAAAAGATTTCACACTGACAGTACAGAATAACACTAGTATTTCAAAAGTGATTATACCCTCTCAAATTGATAGAAATGACTGAGAAATTGAAATACACTACTCAATAATAATTGAGGAATCAAAATATACTACAAAATGTACTATACGAACAAAAATAAAGCCAAAAAAGGCATACCCATAACAGTGTAATTCTTTTCCACAGGGCTTATCCATAAAAAATGTCAAAGTGCTGATAAAAATGAAGACTTTAAACCTCACATTGAAAACAAGTGACTGTAAAGTATGAACAAATATAAGTTATACAACTAAAAGTTAGAAACACTGAAACATCTTAAAAATCAATGTCTCAAAAAAAAAATCAATGTCTCAGATATCATGTATATAATGCAATCAGACGGACACGACATCCCTTCTGTGGTTTTCTTGCCAAAAACACATAACCTCAATCTAACCATGAATATCAGACAAATCCAAATTAGGGGGATAATCCACAAAATAATTGTCCAGGTATTTTCTGAAGTGTCCAGATCAGGGAAGACAAAGAAAGAATAAGGAACTGTGTGAGATGGCCGAAGACGAAGGAGACATGACAAGTAAATGAAATACGGGATCCTGAGTTGGATCCTGGAGCAGAAAAAGAAGAATGAGAAAATGACAAAATCTGAAGAGGATCTAAGTTTAGTTAACACTATAGCATCAATGTCAAGTTCCTGGTTTTGATCATTTGAACATTTAGGGGAACCGGGTGAGGTATATGAAAACACTGGGTGTACTTTCCATGCAACTCTTTCAAGTCTAAATTACAGCCAGTTCTACTGTAAGGCTTGTTTTGCAACACAAATTTGTTCCTGAGTGATTAATGTATTAGGCAACTATCTGAGCATAATGTATTTCACATTTGCTTATGTGCAATTTCTCCTCTGGGACAAGCATTCACTAGGTAAACACAGAAAATGGAATCCATTTGAAATGAGTTCAAAAAACTGAACCAAGCAATGTAGAATACACGGACAGTATACACTCCTAACTTCTACCAGCTGCCTCAGTTAACTGCACGTGAAGAACCACACATATCTACATCTAGTGTTGAAATTTCCACCAGATTGCAGATAACCTGCCTTGCATCACATTTCTCAAAACCTTCCAAGCAGCAATCCTTCTGAAGCCCATTTTAACAGGCAAACCTCAGGTATTATTCAGTACCATATTTACTGTAGTACTTAGTATTTTTGAATCATATAGCGTGTGTAAAACTGTGTTTTTGTCTTTTTGTATGTGTAACTAACAAAGTTTCTGACCACTGTGATACTAACCGACTTTTCTCCTTTTATTGAACAATTCTGCATAGCATGATAAATTTTAAGAATGCATATATTATGGGGGCGCCTGGGTGGCTCAGCCATTAAGTGTCTGCCTTCGGCTCAGGTCATGATCCCAGGGTCCTGGGATCGAGCCCCGCATCGGGCTCCCTGCTTGGCGGGAAGCCTGCTTCTCCCTCTCCCACTCCCCCTGCTTGTGTTCCCTCTCTAGCTGTCTCTCTCTCTCTCTCTCTGTCAAATAAATAAATAAATAAATCTTTAAAAAAAAAAAAAAAGAATGCATATATTATAATAGGACTGTAATCCACCGGAAGTTTTTTTTTAATAACACCCTTTAAAAAGCCTTAATATCCTGTTACATAGCAGTAGAGAAATATTTTGCAAATGTTAAAAACATTTAAGTCTTAATAATGTAAACATTTATTAGAAATGTGACAAAATACTTAGAATTCACAAAATTCTGAAATTAGAAGGAAGCTTGAAGATCATGGCTCAGTGAGTCTACCACCATGATTCTGCAAATACTAAGATCCATAATTTGGCTATATGCAAAAGAATGAAACTGGACCAGTTTGTTACACCATATACAAAAATAAACTCAAAACAGATTAAAAACCTAAATGTGAGACACAGAACCATAAAAATCCTAGAAGAGAGCATTGGCAATAATTTCTCTGACATCGGCCACAGCAACATTTTTCTAGATATGTCTCCAAGGCAAGGGAAACAAAAGCAAAAATAAACTACTGGGAGTACACCAAAATAAAAAGCTTCTGCACAGCAAAGGAAACAATCGATAAAACTAAAAGACAGTCTACAGAATGGGAGAAGGTATTTGAAAATGACATATCCGATGAAGGGTTAGTATCCAAAATAACTAAAGAACGAATACAACTTAACAACCAAAAAAACAAATAATCTAATTTAAAAGGGGGCAGAAAGATATTTCTCCAAAGAGGACATACAGATGGCCAACAAGACACATGAAAAGATGCATGACATCACTCATCATCAGAGAAAGGCAAATCAAAACCACAATGAAAACACCTCACATCTGTCAGAATGGTTAAAATCAACAACACAAGAAAACAGGTGTTGATGAGGATGTGGAGAAAAAAGGAATCCTCATGCACTATTGGCAGAAATGCAAACTGGTGCAGCCACTGTAGAAAACAGTATGGAGGTTCCTCAAAAATTAAAAATAGAACTACCCTATGACCCAGTAACTGCACTATTGGGTATTTACCCAAAGAATATGAAAGCACTAATCCAAAAAGATAAAAGCACCCCTATGTTTACTGCAGCATTATTTACGAGAGCCAAGTAATGGAAGCAGCCCAAGTGTCCATGGATTGATGAAAGGAAAAAGAAGATGTGATACACACATACACACACAATGGAATACCACTCAGCCACAAAAAGAATGCAGTCTTGCCATCTGCAACATTGATGGAGTAAGAGTATATAATGTTAAGAGAATAATTAAGTCAGAGAAAGACAAATGCCATAGGATTTCACCCATAGGTGGAATTTAGGAAACAAAACAAAGGAAAAAAAAAGACACAAACCAAAAAAACAGAGTCTTAACTATAAAGAACAAAGGTTACCAGAGGGGAGGTGAATGGGAGGATAGGTAAAATAGGTGATGGGGATTAGAGAGTACACTTACCATGATGAGCACTGAGGAATACATAAACTGTCGAATCACTAAATTGTACACCTAAAACGAACACTATATATTAACTATGTTGGAATTAAAATTTAAAAAGCAATAACAATCCTCCCCCCCAAAAGAATACTAAAATCCAAATGGTTTAAAAGATATCCCAAAGATAGATGCCATACTCCTCTCTTCAATTTTGAGATGAAGAGCTTCCTGGGGCTCAAAAGAGATCTGTCATATTTAGACTTCTGGGAAGATGGCAGAGCAGTAAAATCTTGAGCTCACAGACACACAGTGCAACCAACTCTGAAAAAGACTCAAGGGCTGGCACAAGAGACTTTATAGTTAACTGTAGAGAAAGCCACAGTGAGAACTACAAGAGGGGAGGAAATGAACTTAGGTACCAAACCTCTGTGAGACTAACTGCACACAGGACCGAGAAGGGAGAGGAGCAGAATCCACACCAGGTACCACAGGCATGGAGAACCCACACTGGTAAGGTAAGTCCCCATAACATCTGGCTTTGAAAACCAGTGGGGCTTAACTTCCAGAGTTTTAAAATCAGCAGACCCAAATTCTGGGTACTTTAAAATCAGCTGGTGTAGCTCCAAGAGAGCTGGCAGGGATAACAGGAAACTGAGTCCCCACCCTCAAAGAGTCAGCATAACAAAGAACCCTGCAGAGACACCTCAAGGAAGCAGCAGTTTGGAAAGTGCCTGGGGTATCTCAGATTTTGCACTGAAGGGGCAGGAATCTTTAGGAGACTTCAAGAACAAAAGTGCTAGCAAGCACCATTCTCTTACCCCAGGCTCCCTCCCCTCCCCTCCCCCCGCATATAGCCAGACACTTGTGGGAACCACCACAAATACTCTCTACATATCTTGCTAGCAACAAGTGCCCCACCTCTGCATTCCCCTTTGGAGGCACCACATCCAATCTGACCCACTCAGCAGGCATGCCTCCAAAACCACCTCTGCCCCAACACACCATGCAAGCAACCCCAGCAGAGACAAGTGCCACTCCAAAGTGACCCCTGCCCTGGGGAGAAGGGAATATAACCATACAAAACCAGCGTGTACCCACAGTCCCAGCAGCCAAACCTTATAGCTGGCAGTGCAGAGACAGTGCCCTGCAGCTCAGTATATCTGCAGTCCCAGAGTACACAGACTAAGGACAGGCATCCAATCTGACTGCTGCCCTACTACAAGTCCCCTTAAAGCACAGGGACCAAACCCTGACCAGTGTACCCCAAACAGGTAAAATGGGCCTTTGCAGCCAACTGGACTGAAGGTAAAGGCAGCTCAGTCCCACAGTAGAACCCACACAGCCACACAGGAAAGACCCCGGAGGTGCCTCATTCCAGTGAACAGAGGACACAGTGCTTCAAGACACCACAAGACCTCTTCTTCATAAGGCCACTACTTTCAAGGTCAGGAGATGTAGGTGGTTTCCCTAATACAAAGAAACAAACAAAGAGTTAGACAAAATGAGGAGACAGAGCAATATGGCCCAAATGAAAGAACAGGACAAAAATCACAGGAAGAGAGCTAAATGAAATGGTGATAAGCAATATGCCTGATAAAGACTTCAAAGTAATGGTCATAAAGATACTCACTGGACTTGAGAAAAAAGTGGAGGATCTCAGTAAGACCTTCAACAAAGAGATAGAAAATACAAAAAAGAACCAGTCAGAGATGAAAAATTCAGTAACTGAAATTCCAAATTCACTAGAGCAAATTGATACCAGAATAGAGGAGGCAGAACAACTAAGCAGTGATGTGGAAAACAGAGTAATGGAAAGCAACCAAGCTGAAGAGCAAAAAGTAAAAAGAATAAAAACTGAGAATAGGTTCAGGAAACTCAACATCATCATCAAGCATAGTAACATTCACATTATAGGGATCCCAGAAGACAGAAAGCAACAGAAAATTTATTTGAAGAAATTATTGCTGAAAATTTCCCTACTGCAGGGAAGGAAAAGATATCTA